GACGATGAGAGAAGAACAGACAGATGCGACCAGGATGAAAAAAATCAAGGAGAAAGGAAGCAAAAGATGAGAGACGAATAAGAGTGAGAAGAAGAGAGGGAAGCAGAGCTAATGTGCAAACCAGACACTAGACTTCAACATCTGGTTTGTTACTTCGATCATCTTAGACAGAGAAAATTACAGCCAGAGCACTGACAGACATAAGGCTCCTGGCTTCTGCTGCAGTTAATGGAGATGGCTCAGAAAACACATGCAGCATACTGTAGGATGAAAGTATTAAATGTTTAAAAGCTGATGCGTGTTAAATCATGAATCAGTCACACCCACACTACTTTTATTTTAATATCGGTAATTTGAAGTCAGAAAGTGAAATAAGACAGAAAAAGCACATTACAGAAAGGAAAAAAGTTTTGCACCTCTGACAAACTCTTGCCCTTCACAGCCTAAAAGCCACAGCTTGTAATAATCACCTTTTCCTGTAAGCCCCAAAAAGAGCAATGCATTTCTGCTGAGTGCTTTTTAAACACAAATCTTCCCCAGTTTTCCCATGAGCCGAGACCCAGAGACCGCAAAGGAACAAGGTCAGGGATCTGAATGTGACTCACATCCTCCATCGTGTCGCTTTTCTCCTGGAGCTCCTTTGATTGGATCAGAGATTAGGAAGCTGCTCATTTTAGTTTGATGCAGATTAGCAGTAAAGAAACGCTGCAGGTATATCTGCTACATTAATCTGAGCCCATATCATTAAGCACAAGATTGTTTGAGTTGTTTCTAAAGTCAGGATGCATGAGAAACTCTGAAGGACATTTAGTGAAAACAATCACTCTGTAATTCTCCACTCTAAATATTAACCCATTTTCTCCAATAGCTAGGCTTTTCCTACTTTCCTACTTTTTAGCTTATAGCTCGTTATATTATTATTGTCAGAGTCAGAGTTTCTTTATTTGTCATACGCACCGCATGTGGTGCATGTGGTGGAACGAAATTGTGTACACAGAGTCACATCCAACAAAAGTATAAAATGTAAAAGAAAAACTAATAAGATCTAAAAAAATGAACTAAGAAAAATGTCCAACTAAAAATACACTTAACTAAATTAATAAAATAAATAATAATTATTTGTTATTATAAATATATTATTATTATTTGTTACAATTTTTTAAAATTCAACCTTTATTTAGACAGGTTAATCCCACTGAGCCTCAAGGGCTCATTTACAAGAGAGACCTGATTTCTTAACAAAGAGTGATGACAACAATGGATAACAACGACAACAAAAGGCAGTCAAAAAAATAGGCAAACAAATTTAAGTTTCCCTTCTTTTATTATTATTATTATTATTATTATTATTATTATTATTATTATTATTATTATTATTATTATTATTAACAAATCGAAACAAAATTTCAAAAACAATTTCATTCCACCTCATGTACCACATGTGATGTGGATGACAGTAAAATCACCTTGAACCTAAATAATTTTTGCTTTTTCCTTTTATTTATTTATTTTTTCCCTATTGCTGTTTTGAGCTTCTAGCTATTGTTTTGCTACTTCTAGATTTTAGCTAGCATTTTGTTTGTTTTAGTTTTAAATTAGCCTTTTGTCATTTTTGTTTTAATTTTGTTTTAATTTAGATTCCCCCCCCCCAAAAAAAATAACAAACAATATTTGCTACAAATGTAGCAGTGTTTTTTTTTTCAAGCCACAAGCTCCCATCACCACCATCAACTTCCCCTAACAAAATAAAAAACAAGAGACAAAGTAAACCAGCGAGTGCAGTATTTGTTAAATTACCAAATAACTGTCATGCTAAATGACTGAATAACTGGAAAAAAATAACCACCCCATATGTGATTTTAAAATAGATAAACTTCCCCTTTGGATATTAAATTTTCATAAAATAAATGTTGCTAGCATGGTCTTTAATTTATGAACACAATTTTTCTCCACATAAATGTTTAATTTGGAACAATCAATACATCAAATACAAAAATAAATATTTATATTTTTTGAACTTGTGGTACATAATTATAGTATTTCAGCTACTTAATAATGGGAATTTGCTGAACTACTGCCTGCAAACATTTGATTTTTCTGTAACACCAAAATAATTTGCTATAGTAATGCATGCTATTCCCTCTGGTATTTTAACTTTATTAAAGAAAGCTGAGAAACCAGCCGTTATTCCACCATTTGACCCTGCGGTGACACCAGTTTGTTGTATATGCTGATTACTTTTGGTCAAATCCAAAAGTAATAACCGTAAATAATCATTACTTCAAGCAGATATTACCACTACCCCCTATGTTGTTCATTACTGGGCTGGAATTGTAAATGGGCTGAACTGGGTCAATGTGTGGAAATTGCCATAGTATAAATAAAGTGAGAGAAGTGTCTTATAAATTAATCCATAGATATTACCCTGGCAAGCAGTACATGTTAAAATTTAAGAAAGATATGTGTGAATTGCTCTTTGTGTGAGTCTGAACCTGAAACCATGATCCTCCTGTTCTGGCTCTGTCATACTACTGCCACCTTCTGGAAAAAAGAAATCTGGCAACCATAGAAAGACTGACTCTAATTTCTGTTTAACTTGAAACAATGTACTGTTTAGAGTTCATGATGTCAAAAGCAAAAAACAGAAAGAACCATATATTCTAAGCTTAATAATACTCTTAGGGGAAATACCACATACACAATGAAAGTTTAGTCACTCTGTTCCCTCTTTGCAGGCCTTCCAGAAGGAGTCTGAAGGAGTCATTGTAAACATTTGTGACTGTAATAAGAAAGCTATAAATAAAAACATATGATTTGTGCATTGGGCAGCACAGTGGTGCAACTGGTAGAGCTGCTGCCTCTCAGCAAGCAGGTCCCGGGTTCAAACCAGGGCCTTTCTGGGTGGAGTTTGCATGTTCTCTCCGTGCATGCGTGGGTTTTCTCCAGGTGCTCCGGTTTCCTCCCACAGACCAAAAACATGCATGTTAGGCTGATTGTAACTCTAAATTGTCCCTAGGTGTGAGTGAGAGAGTGAATGGTTGTTTGCCTCGTTTGTCTCTATGTGGCCCTGTGATGGACTTGCGACCTGTCCAGGGTGTACCCCGCCTCTCGCACAGTGATTGCTGGACATGGGCACCAGCGACCCCCGTGACCCAAAATGGAATAAGCAGGTAAAGATAATGGATGGATGGATGGATATTAATGAAAGAGATCTGTGCAGACCTGCAAGACTCCAGTCCAGACCCACTTAAGGATAATAAAAAAAATCTTATTCTTTTGACAGAACGTTTTCTAGACACGTCCATCAATAAATGTTTTCTAATCCAAAGCAGTCACTTTGTACACCGATGCTTCCATGTGTTTCGGGTGGCAGCCATCCCCTGCACTGATCGCTGTAATTTTGAAAAATTAGCGCTGTTGTTTGTGATGTAATATGAATAATTCACATCAAACATGTCTCTCGCTGTATTTTTATTTATTCATTTTTTTTTACTGTAAGCTTTAAAAAAAAATTTATTCACCTTATTCCTACGTTCCATGATGCCTTGCGTGATATATGCGCACAACTTCTGGTGGAGCAAAAACTGCGTTTGTGTATGTGTGAAGAGTGTAAGCGAAGTTAGTCCTAGCTTTATGAATTTCATTCAAACAGGACAATATAAACATTCCGCTGCCTGCTGAGGAGGAGGGATGGAGGTCAAGCTGAAGAAGTGGCTGCAGATTACATCTACCAGCATAATTAGCTACATCTACTATTTAGTTCATTGACTCAGTGGTGCAAGGATGACACGCAAATTCATGAAGCGTTCCTCATTTTCACTTTTCGTTTAACACAAAACAAGTTAAAGTTCCTCCCCGGTGTCTTTCCTCTGCTTTATTCAGAGATTCAGATATTCTTTATTGTCATACGCACCCCATATGGTACATGTGGTGGAACGAAATTATGTACGCAGGGTCCCAGTTACATCCAACAATAAAATGTAAAAGGAAAACAGTAATAAGATCTAAGATATGAACTAAGAAAAACATCAGCTAAAAATACGCTAAGCACTAATAGCATAAAAACAATAAACACAATACACCGAACAGCAGCATGAACATGAGTCTGTGTGAGCAGATGAGCACAAATGAACACAGCAATATGAAACAGATCAGCAGCAACATGAAACAGATCAGCAGCAACATTATGTGATCTTTCACAGTGATTATCCTGGTTAGATATTCATGTGTCTAACAGCCTCATGGTAGAAGCTGTTCCTCAGTCTAGTGTCTACACTTAATGCCCCTTAGCCTCTTTCCTGGGGGAAGTGGGGCAAAGGAGTGTGTGTGCTGGGTGAGTGGGGTCCTTCTTGATGCAGGTGACCCTCTTCCTACATCTGGAGGTGTAGATGTCTGTGATGGTGGAGAGGCCGACTCCAACTTTTTTGTAAAACTAACTTTACCGCCGTGATGATTGATGATAAATTGTTAAGTTCAATGCAAAAATCAATGCTGACTTGTTCCTGTTTTTAGTTTTTTTTAACCTAGTTTCATAATGTAGCTCGATTTTATTTAGTTTTAGATCACATTTTTTTATTTACTTTTCATTTTATTTGCATTTTATAGCTGATTTTGGTTTTGTATAAATAAAGGTTGATTGAATGAATGAATGTTTTTGAGATTTATAGTGAGCACTTTCTGGAGTGTCATGACAACTGCTGAGATGCTGTCAAGTAGACTTGTAGAGAAGAATAGCTAAATTCTACAAACAACAGGTTGTGCAACAGTTTCACTTGCGCAACCCGCCCGCCTAGAGCCGCGCGTGTAAATAATTCAAACACACCCCTCGCAAATGAGCAAAGTTCTTTTCGTCTCTGGTTAGCTTCATTTGAAACGCAAACCCACAATTCAGCAAACACCGGCAACTTCCCAGAAATGAGTTAAAAAAAAGTTATATTTTATTTTTTGCATTATGTGAGCACTCACATTCGCAGCAACAGTAGGTTGGAGTTCAGTAGTTTTCGTCTTGATGTCTTCACGAAAGGTAAGAAGACTAGCTAACTAGCTTGCTAAGTTATGCTAATGGCTAGTTTGCTTTAGCAACCCTTGTTGTCCTCCAGTGTTTTGGTTCCTCTCAATCCGCTGAGTGTACATACCGGTTTACGAAACATAATTTTAATTTTTTTAACACTGAAATAGCAGACACCTGTCGTATTTGAGTTTTTGAGCGAAACTGTACAAATAAGTACCCATTAAACCATTTAATTATAATAATAACGTTAGTTTTGGTCATCCTCAGCGTAAAAAGTACTCGAAGAAGGATGAGGACATACAGCGGGCTTTCTTTCCGGATGCCGATGACAGTCATAGTCTCCACCAGAATGTGGGGAGAGAAACTTCACTCCTTTCATCCAGCAGAAGTTGGGCGAAGTGTGGAGACAGCTTTTTGGGCACTACGGTGATAAAGGTTGAAACTGCCTGATGATGCTGCAGTGATGCATATGAATAATTTTGCCTGTCACATTATCATCCACCTGTTTGTAGTATACTCCCATGATCAGACCTTTCTGATAGTTTTAGTGCTTTTGGCTTTTGCTGCAGAGCCTCCAGCCCTCAAGAAGAAAGCTGTCAGCTGTTAGAAGATTGGCTCAGACACCTGCTTTAGGTAATTTTTAGAATCCTACAAATAGTTTTGGTTATTGTTTGTGGTGGGTTGTGTCATTTTCTAATCTTTAATGTGTAAGTACTACCTGGGCTGGAAAATGCACACTCAAAACACTTGGTTATTTGTGACATTATAAGGTTAAAATAATTTCACTGGATCTTGATGCAAATGTTTTTTGTGTGTTTTTCCCTCAGTGCAGAGCAGTTCTTCTCAATGTGTCGAGTACCCTGTTCATATTGCGTGGAGCTCCAGTGACACTGAACATTCTGATGATGAGAATCAGGAGAAGAAAAAGTCTGTCGTTCCACAGCAGCAGCGGTGGCCTCAGCGACCAGAGAAACCCACCGCTCCCATTCAGTCTTACATCAGAGCTCTGAGCATGCTCACTGCTGATAAAGGTAAAGGAGGAAGTCTGTTCTGACTCACCTATATTTCAGGTTATTGCGACTTTGAGTTGTTTTTTTTTATCCACACTTGTTTTATTCATTTATTTTTTATTATTTTACTATAAATGCAAGCCAGAGTAAAGAAAAAAGTAGCAGTTTTGCACCTTTATGACCCTTTTCCAAAGTGTGTGTGTGTGTATATATATATATACAGTGAGGAAAATAAGTATTTGAACACCCTGCGACTTTGCACGTTCTCCCACTTTGAAATCATGGAGGGGTCTGAAATGTTCATCTTAAGTGCATGTCCACTGTGAGAGACATAATCTAAAAGGGAAATCACAATGTATGATTTTTTAATAATTTATTTGTGTGTTACTGCTGAAAATAAGTATTTGAACACCTGTCAAAATTAATGTTAATATTTGGTACAGTAGCCTTTGTTTGCAGTTACAGAGGTCAAAGGTTTCCTGTAGTGTTTCAGCAGGTTTGCACACACTGCAGCAGAGATTTTGGTCCATTCCTCCAGACACATCTTCTCTAGATCAACCAGGTTTCTGGGCTGTCACTGAGAAACAGTTTGAGCTCCCTCCAAATATTTTCTATAGGGTTTAGGTCTGGAGACTGGCTAGACCACTCCAGAACCTTGATATGCTTCTTACGGAGCCACTCCTTGGTTCTCCTGGCTGTGTGCTTCGGGTCATTGTCATGTTGGAAGACCCAGCCATGACTCATCTTCAATGCTCTAACTGAGGCGAGTGGATTTAAGACCAAAAAGTTCTATTTTGGTCTCATGTGACCACAGAACTTTCTCCCATGACTCCTCTGGATCATCCAAATGGTCATGGGCAAACTTAAGACGGGCCTGGACGTGTGCTGATTTAAGCAGGGGAACCTTCCTTGCCATGCGTGATTTTAAACTATGACGTCTTAGTGTATTACCCACAGTAACCTTGGAAACAGTGGTGCCAGCTCTCTTCAGGTCATTGACCAGCTCCTCCCGTGTAGTTCTGGGCTGATTCCTCACCTTTCTTAGGATCATTGATACGCCACGAGGTGAGATCTTGCATGGAGCCCCAGTCCGAGGGAGATTGACAGTCGTGTTTAGATTCTTCCATTTTCTAATAATTGCTCCAACACTTGGCAATTGCCTCGTAGTCCTTTCCAGCCTTGTGGAGGTCTACAATTTTGTCTCTGGTGTCTTTGGGCAGCTCTTTGGTCTTAGCCATGTTAGTAGTTGGAGTCTTACTGATTGTGTGGGGTGGACCGGTGTCTTTATACAGCTACCGACCTCAAACAGGTGCTTCTAATTTAGAATAATAAGTGGAGTGGAGGTGGACATTATAGAGGAGGACTAACAGGTCTTTGAGGACCAGAACTGTTGCTGATTGGCAGGTGTTCAAATACTTATTTGCAGCAGTAACACACAAATGAATTATTAAAAAAATCATACATTGTGATTTCTGGATTTTTCTTTTAGATTATGTCTCTCACAGTGGACATGCACCTAAGATAAAAAAATTCAGACCCCTCCATCATTTCTAAGTGGGAGAACTTGCAAAGTTGCAGGGTGTTCAAATACTTATTTTCCTCACTGTATATATATATATATATACACACACGCACACATTTAAATTAGCCTCACCTATAAAGTGTTTTCTTCTGGCTAAATAGTTTAATTTTAAAACAATTCACTAGGACAGTGATGACGTTTGTTGATTTTGTTTTACTGTTAATTAAGGGTGTAATGGTGTCAAGTCATGGTTTGGTACAACAGGAAAATGAAACATGCACATCTTTTTTTTTGTGTCTATTTTAAATAAACTATAACCCTACAAGAAACTGAGACAAGTCTAACAACAGTGTAAGATTTGTCCGCAGGTGACTTCACTATAAAATTAAAAAGTTGATGTTCTTGTCTCTTTCCTATAGTGATATATAAATTGCGTCCTACAATGTGTCAGGCAATTGAAGAAAATCTGAAAAGTGACAAATAATGTGTATCTGTCTTTTGTTAAGACTCGTGTTCTAGAAAAGTGCTGTATCCACCGCTTCCAAACTCGTTTTTGTACATGTGGCATACTTTGTGAGTGCAGCTTTCCAATACAGACAGTCTGTGCACTCCAAGTGCAGGACAGAACCTCTACATATCTAATCAGGACTCATACTCACACCTGTATGCTTATGTCACAACTCAGTTCATCCAGTCAGAAAGACTGGGTATGCGCATGTTTCCACTGATAAAATGATCACTCGCATCCATAATAATTATTATTTAGTTTCTCAATGTAAACATTGAAGTTTCAGTTGGAAAAAAATCTTCTGGTACTTCCTTTAATTTCAGTGTCCCAGCTCCAAGAGCAGAACTTGGGTGCAGTTTGTACTCATGCTCCCTCGCTGCTCTGGACTTTACCTCTGTAGCTCACACAGCGCATACTGCTTTCCAATAGTGGGGCGGCTGTACGAATGTTAGAGCTTTTTGTCAACCAAATAAAATAAAAATGTGAGTGCACTTCTTACTTTACATTATAAACTTAATTGTCAATCAAAATTGTACAATGCACCATGCAAAATTGTATGAAATTTTGTTGAATTTTTCCACAGCAGTGTAGGTGTACATAATTTACATGAATTTATAGACTTTGGTGTTTAGAGTAGAAGATGCAATTCTTGTTACTTCTTAGGATGGTACACTGAGTTTGCAGTTACTCACAGCATCAATTCAGTTACAAGATGACTTACACGTCAAATCAACTTGAAACCAATTTTTTTTGTTTCTTTGTTAAATTCAAGTGGTGTGTGCATATATTATTTCATTTTCCTTGCTTTCTGTGTGATTTTAGAAGACGTGCCTGTTATAGACACAGACAGTGATCTGCATGAGTCTGAGGAAGATGCTGAAACGGACTCTGGGCAAAAAATCTCAGACTGTGAGTCAAACTCTGCTGATGAAAGAACAAAAGACTTCCCTGTTGAATCGGCAAACGTGAGTGAATTATGGTGATGCAGATAGTTTTCATTACAACCAACAACAGTGGAAAAACTAATTGTATTTATTAAACTTGTTTAAATGTTAACTTAAATGACAGCACAGTTTTGCTGCAGGGGAATTAAATCTGTAATTGATCAAGTGCACTAAAAGCAAGCTCAGCAATCATGACTGAAGTTGCTTAGAGGGACACTAGATGGAGCTACAACCTTTCTTTAATTTTGTATTGGAAATTCATAGCATCAACCACAAGAAAGTACTCTATTGACTGATATAAATCCAGTGGGAGAACAGACAGCGTTTTCTGATAGTCGTAGTTTACAACTAAACCTTTTTAGCTTTGCAGCTATTGGGCAGTAAATTCTAATATTTCAGTATATTTAGTTCAGTTTAAGTATTTGCACTTTGATCTCTGTGAATTTAATTTTACTGGTTGTGATTGTATGCAGTACCACTAGGTGGAGGTCTTCTCTGACGTACTTTGGTGTACTGGGATAAACTCAGTCGCAGCATGGAGTACTTTCTAGAATCAGGTTATGTTCTGTCAGAACTCACGGGCTGAGGGAGCAATAAAACTCTGGCTTCAGGGCAAGGTGTCTGCTGATGCCTGGCTTATGCAAAGTAGCTGTTGTGTTAATGTTACGCTCGACACTGAAGCAATGCAACCCTTTCTATTTTAGAGATGGTTCAAATCTAGTTTCCAGTGGTGCTGTAATATTTAAATGAAGCAAAACATTAAATATCTGTGCTTCTGGGGAATATATTTGGATCATTATGAGCAACGTGTTGACCACTTCTCCCTCAGATATGGGGAGATGTTCCTGCTTTTTTATTTCTCTTTTAAATCAATTACCTTTTATCTTTTTTTTTTTTTGCCTTATTTAGAGAAAACATTACTTATTGATCTAAAAAAGTTGAATCTGGTCCTCTGGTCATTCAAAAAAACAAAACAAAAAAGTTGTAGAAACGTTTCGTCTTTCATCCAATTTTTTTGTCTTGTTTTGTTTTTTTTGAATGTCCAGAGGACCAGATTTAACTTTTTTTTTTTTAGATTTTTCTACCTGGATTATTGAGCATGCATCAGGATTACTTACTGATGTTTTCATTGATTTATTTTTTTCAGTAGATACCGGTAGTTTCATAATTGATAATGATTTTAAATGCTCTTTTTGTTGATAATAGAGAAGACTTCTGTCGTTTCTTTAGTATTGTAAGTGTCACTGACGGTGTGATTTCCTTTTATGTGAACCCTCATAGATGCCCCAAAGATTTGGACAGTTTTTTTTTTTTTCTTCTTCTCATAAGTCATTCAGCAGCAGTGTTTATTCAAGGCAGGGCTGGCGTAGAAAGAATGCACAAGGAGTGGTGAAGGTGTTGCAAACTGATTCAAGCAAACATATTATTTCATTTTAGTTTTTATGGGATGCTTGTGCATAATTAATTACCGGTAGACAATTTTGGCTAATTGCATACCGATGCTAACCAGATAACGTTTTGTTTTTAATGCCCTCATTCAGCTGAGTCAATGATTCCTGACTAAATTACTTTTGGCTGCTTGTAAGACAATCAGTTTGTACAAGTAACTAGTAGCTTTTGTAAAAATAAAATAAAATTTGAAGTTTGCATCTTAAGAGGAAGCCTGCTGACAGATTACCATCACTTCCACAAACCATAGCTACTTCCTCTTGTCACAATTTCAATTTGCTGCTATCAGCTCTTCAAGGTCATACAAGACTCAAAAGCACCAAACACGAGGTTTGTGGTCAGAAGACAACATTTTTAAAGTCATAGTTTTACAGATATAGAATCATTTGACTTTATAAATTCAATATTTTTTTTCAGTTTTATTAGTACATGTATCAGGATGTAAATAAAGTGACAAAACATCTATCCATTATCTTTTACCCGCGTCTTCCTTTTTGGGTCACGGGGGTCACTTTTGCCCATATGTAGCAGTCACTGTGCAAGAGGCGGGGACAAACTTTATAACATGTTGGTTGGTTTATTGCATATAGCTCTTTATTATTACTGACAAAGGTGAAGTAAGATGATTGTGTTTTTACCCGTTTCTGTGTGCGTGTGTTTGTGTGTCTGTCATGACCAAAATGTTTCCTGACCTACTGGCTGGATTTTAATTAAACTTGTTGAGTTGAAAGTATTTATTGGATGCTCATCCACAACTGATTAACCTTATGGAGTCAACTTGGTGCCAAATGGCTGCTACAGCCGACTGACAGTAAAAAACAAAAATGTGTATAACTGTCAGTTTGACAGAAATTCAAATTAAATTTACGTGGTATTATCTGAGACTGATCCCCAACACATACTCTACCATTGTACAAAATCACAGAAATGGTTATAACTCTGTTCTAATTACAGATTTTGATCCATAAGGGGTCGAGTGCAATGTGGGATGGGTGGTGGCCGAGGGCGGGGACCTTGACGGTCTGATCCTCGGCTACAGAAGCTGGCTATTGGGATGTGGAATGTCACCTCACTGGTGGGTAAGGAGCCTGAGCTGGTGTGTGAGGTTGAGAGGTTCTGGCTAGAAATAGTCGGACTCACCTCTACGCATGGCTCTGGAACCAGTTTCCTTGAGAGGGGTTGGTCACTCTTCCACTCTGGAGTTGCCCCTGGTGAGAGGCGCCGAGCAGGAGTGGGCATACTTATTGCTCCCCATCTTAGTGCCTGTGTGTTGGGGTTCACCCTGGTGAATGAGAGGGTGGCCTCCCTCCGCCTACGTGTGGGGGGACGGGTTCTGACTGTCGTTTGTGCTTATGCACCAAACGGCAGTTCAGATTATCCACCCTTTTTGGAGTCCTTGGAGGGGGTACTGGAAAGTGCACCTCCTGGGGACTCCCTTGTTCTGCTGGTGGACTTCAATGCTCACGTGAGCAATGACAGTGAGACCTGGAGGGATGTAGTTGGGAGGAATGGCCCCCCTGATCTGAACCCGAGTGGTGTTCTGTTGTTGGACTTCTGTGCTCGTCATGGATTGTCCATAACAAACACCATGTTCAAACATAAGGGTGTCCATATGTGCTCTTGGCACCAGGACACCCTAGGCTGCGGTTCGATGATCGACTTTGTCGTTGTCTCATCTGATTTGCGGCCACATGTCTTAGACACTCGTGTGAAGAGAGGGGCGGAGTTGTCCACTGATCACCACCTGGTGGTGAGTTGGCTCCAATGGTGGGGGAGGATGCCTGTCAGACCTGGCAGGCCCAAACGTATTGTGAGGGTTTGCTAGGAACGTCTGGCAGAGTCTCCTGTGAGATGGAACTTTAACTCCCACCTCCGGGAGAACTTTGAACATGTTCCAGGGGAAGTGGGGGACATTGAGTCAGAGTGGGCCGTGTTCTGTGCCTCTATTGTCGAGGTGGCTTACCGGAGCTGCGGCTGTAAGATTGTCTGTGCCTGTCACGGCGGCAACCCTCGAACCCGGTGGTGGACATCGGCAGTGGGGGATGCTGTCAGGCTGAAGAAGGAGTCCTATCGGGCCTTTTTGGTCTGTGGGACCCTGGAAGCAGCTGATGGGTACCGGCAGTCCAAGCGACATGCGGCTCGGGTGGTCGCTGAGGCAAAAACTTGGGCATGGGAAGAGTTTGGAGAGGCCATGGAGAATGACTTCCGCACAGCTTCGAGGCGATTCTGGTCCACCATCCGGCGTCTCAGGTGGGGGGAACTGGTACACCACCAACACTGTTTATAGTAGGGGTGGTGTGCTGCTGACCTCAACTCGGGATGTCGTGGGTCGGTGGGCAGAATACTTTGAAGACCTCCTCAATCCCACCGGCACGTCTTCTACTGAGGAAGCAGAGCATGGGGACTCTGGGTCGGGCCCTCCAATCTCTGGTGCTGAGGTCACCGAGGTGGTTGGACATCGGGGGAAGTTCCCCTGGATTGGCAGATCGGGGTGGTGGTCCCCCTATTCAAAAAAGGGGACCGTAGAGTGTGTTCCAACTACAGGGGGATCACGCTCTTAAGCCTCCCTGGTAAGGTCTAATCGGGGGTTCTGGAGAGGAGGGTCTGTCGGATAGTCGAACCTCGGATTCAGGAGGAGCAGTGCGGTTTTCATCCTGGTCGTGGAACACTGGACCAGCTTTACACTCTCAGCAGGGTCCTGGAGGGTGCGTGGGAGTTTGCCCCACCAGTCTACATGTGCTTTGTGGACTTGGAGAAGGCGTTCGACTGCGTCCCTCGGGGGACCCTGTGGGGGGTACTCTGGGAGTATGGGGTACCGGGCCCTTTGATATGGGCTGTTAGGTCCCTGTATGATCGGTGTCAGAGCCTGGTCCACATTGCTGGCAGAAAGTTGGGCTTGTTCCCGGTGAGAGTTGGACTCCACCAAGATTGCCCTTTGTCACCGATTCTGTTCATAACTTTTATGGACAGAATTTCTAGGTGCAGCCAAGGTGTTGAGGGGATCCGTTTTGGTGGCCTTAGGATTGCGTCTCTGCTTTTTGCAGATGATGTGGTCCTATTGGCTTCATCAGATTGTGATCTACAGCTTTTGCTGAAGCAGTTCGCAACCAAGTGCGACGCGGCCGGGATGAGAATCAGTTCTTCCAAATCCAAGGCCATGGTCTTTAGCCGGAAAAGGCTAGAGTGCCCTCTCCGGGTCAGGGAGGAGGTCCTACCCCAAGTGGAGGAGTTCAAGTTAGGGCATTAACAGAGTACGCGAGTAATCTACACATCGATTGCTAGGACATCTATCGAGGTTAAAAATTTAACATCGAGTATCCTTAGTGACGTCATATTATGTGATCACCGTATGACCGTAGGGGGCGGTGTTGCACTGTTGCAGGTCACAGAGTATGGTGTAACACCCAGTCCAATCCACCAAACCAGTTTCAGTTAAGTTTCGTTTTTGACGTGCTGCATTTTCTTCACGTTTGCAGTTTAATAATAATAACTAATAGTTTAGTTTTTCCTGTGACTTATTTGCAGTATGATAAATGGTAGGAGCATAATATACGCTCCCAATGTTTTGTTGGTCTTTTTTTTTGTAAATAATTACCTTTTTTTGCGGTTTTATTTATTTATTTTTGTATCTTGAGATCTATGACATCATCAAATACTCGAGTTCTACTCGGGTTTTATTATGTTAATGTCGAGTTTAAAAATTATATACTCGTTCAACCCCTAGTTCAAGTATCTTGGGGTCTTGTTCACGAATGACGGGAAAAATGGAACGTGAGATCGATAGGCGGATAGGTGCAGTGTCTGCAGTGAGGCAGGCGCTATACAGGTCTGTCGTGGTGAAGAGAGAGCTGAGTCAAAAGGCGAAGCTCTCAATTTACCAATCAATCTACGTTCCTACCCTCATCTATGGTCATGAGCTTTGGGTTGTGACCGAAAGAACGTGATCTTGGATACAAGCGGCCGAAATTAGTTTTCGCCGCAGGGTGTCTGGGCTGTCCCTTAGAGATAGGGTGAGAAGCTCGATCATCCGGGAGGGACTCGGAGTAGAGCTGCTGCTTCTCCACGTCAAGAGGAGCCAGTTGGGGTGGCTCGAGCATCTGGTTAGGATGCCTCCTGGACGCCTCCCTGGTGAGGTATTCCGGAGACGTCCCACCGGGAGGAGGCCCAGAGGAAGACCCAGGACACGCTGGAGGGACTATGTGTCTCGGCTGGCCTGGGAACGCCTCGGGATTCCCCCGGAGGAGCTGGCCCAAGTGGCTGTAGAGAGGGAAGTCTGGGCCTCCCTACTTAAGCTGCTACCCCCGTGACCCGACCCCGGATAAGCGGAAGAAGATGGATGGATGGATGGATCTATTATTTGGTGTTATAGTAGCAGAAACATCCCCAACACATATTCTTAGTGTTAACAAATTGTGTTTTAATATCTTTTTTATTTATTTTTTTATTTTGCCTTGAACTATTTGGTCTCAACTCTGTCTGGTAGTAAAATATTTTCTGGCCCACTGGGCTAATTTAAATGAATCTTTTGAGGAAAAATTATTGAATAGACCTAAATTTTGAAGTCAATATACCATACCATACAACATTATTTATAAAGCACTTAAAAACAGCAACAAGGCCAACCAAAGTGCTGTACAGCAAAACAAAACAAGCAAAGGACACAGCATAAAATACATAGATCACACAGAGGTAAAGATAGGAACTAAATGGCTATACAGGCAAGTTAAAATCAAATCACACAGTGTCAAAAGTCAGGGAATAAAAGTGTTTTCAAATGAGACTTAAAAACAGCGAAAGATGAGACCTGCCTGACATGTAGTGGGAACTCATTCAACAGTTTTGGACCTGCAACAGAGAAAGTCCTGTCACCTCTGTGCTTAAAACGAGTGCCTGGAACCAATAATCGGGTCTGCTGACCTCAAAGAGCACTGTGGGACATATGGCTGCAGTAGATCAGCAAGATAGGAGGGGGCAGAACTGTTCAGATATTTAAAAACATACAAAATGATTTAAAATGAATTAGAAAGTGAACCGGGTGCCAGTGAAGGGAGGCCAGAACTAGAGTAATATGCTCTCTTTTGCCTGTACTGGTTAAAAGTTGGGCTGCAGCATTTTGAACCAGTTGTAAACGTTAAGAATTAATAGAGGTTTGACTGATTGCAAAAAGAAACGCATTGCAATAATCAAGCCTGGATGTTATGAAAGCATGTATAACTGTTTCAAAATTTATTTTGGAAAGATGGGCTTCAATTTAGACAGTTGCCTATTATATTCAGTAATATGATTTAAGATAGCTACCATGTCCACCTAACCTTAGAATATACACTAATGGCTATAATTCAGTCAGTTTGACAGATATTGTAGTAAAGATTTGTGTGGAAGTAGCTGAGGCTCCTTCACAACACAAACTCCAAGCACCGTAATTGCATGAGATCTTAATAATTTACCATTACCTGTTACAGTTAACCTTGTTTGTTAGCAAAATGTCTCATGAACCACTCAATGATTTTAATGAAACTCTCAGAAAGTAATCATTGTATTTTTCTACCTGGATTATTGAGCATGCATCATGATAATCATTGTATGCACTTCTACAGCTATTACCTTAGAAGTTAAGTTAGTCCATTTTAAAGATGGCCACCACAGCTTATTGACGTAAGCCAACAAATCAGTAACAATAACTCAGTCAGTTGTTAAAATTTGACGAGATAGTTATGCATAACGTTGTTTTCAAGGTTTAACCAAATTAGCTACAGCTCCATCTTTTCTTGACTTGGGATGATCTTGATTTTAAATTCTGAGATAAACTAGGCGATGGGCAATCTGTGTATTCCTTCATGGAGTGCTAGACTTTTATAATTATATTTTGTATTTAAGTTTGTCTTACTTGCGTAAATATTTGTCCAATTAGCAGCTGCAGAATGTAACGGCTTTTAGTTTGAAATGTGCTGCTCAGTACGTGAGCTTATACACTGAAGATCATAAATCAAGCTGGATCAAGCAGGTTTTACACAAGAAAAAAGTTTATTACTCCTGATAAATGTGTGGCTGAATCAGTCTTCTTTTAAAGAGGATGGCCACTTCCTAGATGAAGCCTGTTGCTCGATCCGACTGCCCGAACATCATTTCCTAAAGGGGTTAAAAACCTCTAACCACATCAAAGCTAAAGTGGGACTATAAAGATAGTTTTACTACTGTTTGTTGGGGAGAAGTTGTGAGTGGATGAGGCTGTGTGGAGCTGTGCACTTACAATGCTTTCGGAGCTGGGTGAAAACATTTTTGAGCTGAGGCCAGGAACATAGTGTTCCTTTTTCTCTGTAGCTGGTTTGAGTGTGACGTTTGCTGGCACTCTGCCTAGCAGGGTCAAGTTGATTCAAATAAGAGAACAGATTGGCTGACAGTGCCTGGTATGTTGGTCTTGTCTGCACATGACAGGAACTCAGGTTTCCAGTGGATTTTTCCATGTGAACAAATTCCCTCAGGTGCACCAAGTAGTGATACAGCAAAACAACAAAAAAAGTTTGTTTTGTTACTTTATCTTGTGGATTATTCAGTCTGACAGTATTTCACTGTACCATATACACCCACTTTCCCCGTTAGCGTGTTTATATGATTTAATTACTGTTCATGTAATGGTAGCTGAGTCAGGAGTTTTCAGCTTTTAGTGCAAATGTTAAGTTTTACTGTGCTGGGCATCACGGTGGAGCAGTTGGTAGAGCTGTTGCCTCTTAGAGAGAAGGTTGCCGGATCGAATCCCGGCTGAGGGCATTTCTGGCTGGGGTTTGCATGTTCTCTCCGTGCATGCGTGGGGGTACTCCGGTTTCCTCTCACAGACCAAAAACATGAATGTTAGGCTGATTGGTAACTCTAAATTGTCCCTAGGTGTGAGTGAGAGAGTGAATGGTTGTTTGTCTTGTGTGTCCCTGTGATGGACTGGAGGCCTGTCCAGATTGTCCCCCACTTCTCGCACAGTGACTGCTGGATATGGGCACCAGTGATCCGAAAAGGAGGAAGCTGGTAAAGATGATGGATGGATGGATAATTCAACAATAGCAGTTTACACCTTGTGTACTTCCTTGCAGGATAAAGAGCTTGAGATCACAGGTTATGCATCTGATGGAGAGGACGTTGGCAGCACGTTCATGTCAAGCAAACTGGACTCTGAGAGCTTTCCTCTCCAAAGTGGAGAGGGCAGCAAATCATCAGTCAGCAACTGGCTGAAATCTGCTCAGGCGATGCTGCAAACGCCCCAAAAAACAGCTGAGAGACAGTCCAAGACCCCAGATGACTCTGCCAAAAAGAAAAGAAAGTTTAAAAGGTTTGAATCGTGTTCCTGAAATATAATTTGCCATGGGTTAACAAGAATTTAGTTATAAACACTTTGAGTTGATGTTTATACTGAACGCTGCTACTTAAATTAGTGCTGGCACTAGTTCTGATGGAACTAGTTTTATATCAATAGGAGATGAACAACATATATGTTTTAAATAGGTGTATTTCTTAAAATGATAGTATAACGTATGTTCTAGTGTGTTGCTTCATAGTAGGAGCAAAGCAAAGTCTACAAAGAAACACAAGACATATTGCCTTCTGCCAGGTGACAGTCAAACTTTGATTGCAATGTTTCCACTGCAGAACCAATGATGAAAGGGACACCTGGTGTCATTATGTGGGTGCCAAATGTCATTTAAGCCCAACAATCTGACAGATAATCTGCAGAGTTCGACAGCTTGTCTGCATCAGAATTCTTTTTTTTGTTTAAACCAACAGTTCTACACAAGCATCGCTTAAGTCATATGTTCTGTTTGAGTTTATCACATTACATCATCTCCCTGTGTGTGTATTTGTTCCACAGTGGAGGTCTGGCAGAGAGGCTGAATCGGCTTCAGTGCAGACAAAGGTCGGCTATCAGTTTCTGGAGGCACAAGTCCATCTCTGACACCTCGGCAGCAACAACCACAACAGGTGAATCGTGTCACACTGACCTGCTGCGTGTACTAGATTACATCAGGATGTTTAACATACACACCCCTGAATCAAAATGCACGCTCAATAATCCAGGTAGATAAATCCAACAAGGTGGAGTCAGGTCCTCTGGACGGATTATTCTTTGATAAAACGTTTTGTCTTTTATCCAAAAGATTTCTTCAGTTGAAGGACGGAACATTTTAACAAAGAAGAATCCATCCAGAGGACCTGATTCAACTTTGTTAGATTCCTGAATCACTAAGTTTAACCCTGAGATTTGATTTGTGAGTTGGATGAAGCTTATTTCTGTGTACCCCCCCCCCCCCACACACACACACACACACACACACATTTTAAACATGTGTTTGTATGGAGGGGCCACTGTGAGGAAGCGACGGCTGTAGTTTGATCACTGTGGCTCTGAACTGTGAACTCTTATGTAGGTGACAGGAAACTGCTTGCCTAGTTCATTTCTTTTTTCCTTTCCGTGGTGAAGTAAACCACTTGTGCTCTCTAGTTCATAAGTAGCTCATCATCATAGGACATAAGATCACCTAAAGGTGGCAGTTGATTGTGGAAAAACAACACACCCACAAAAGTCACCTTAGGAGTCTGTAGGCATTTGATAGTTTAGTGTAGTGCAAAGAGTTAAAAGATGAAAAATGTGGAGGTGGATGCTTACTTGACCTCATTTCGGTCTTATCGACATTTAATTTGGTTTGTTTGTGTCGAGCTTCCACGTGGCTGAAGTCACATAGCCAGCATCAAGATAAATTTTTTTAAAAGACTTGTGTTTAATAAAACTTTTTCAGAAACCCTACCCTAACTTCTTTTCGTTCATTTTCCTCTGACACACAAACAACAATGTTGATCGACTACATCAGCACTGTTGCAGAAAACATGTTTGTTATGGTTTTTAAATTATTGGTATGTGATGAAAGCATCTTCACTTGAGCACGTTGCACACCTTGTGTTGTTTTCTCGGAAACTGCTTTGCTTGCTGTTTGTGAAAGCTCAAGAATATGACTCAAGCTCTTGTTCCTTCTGAGGATTTTGCATAATTGGACCTAAATGCTCACAGGCTATACAGTGTTTCCCTGAGGTTACGTGCCTTGGGAGGGTGCTAGTCTCTTCGGCGTAGCAGAGTGCTACTTTTGTATTGCGCGCGATTGTCACGGTTTGGAGTCTGAGCTGAGCTGCTACAATCTCCGCTTCCTGTTTGGATGTTGCGGAGCTGCGTTGGGGGTGGGGGACATGATAGGCGGGGCGCTCGGTTCTACTGACAGGGCAGGGTGCCCTGCTTGAATAATGGTAGGGGAAACACCGGGCTATAGGAAGCACTTAACATTTTATGTTTAGAGAAATGCATGCTAATACTTAACTGTAATCTCAATAATGTGATTAAAATCTCTGTTTTGTCAGTGACATACAGATGCACTGACTCCACCTTCTCATGCTGTAATGTTTAATGTTGTAATGGGGTCTTACTGTTCAAGCTAAAAGCACGTTCAGTGTTGTGGTAAAATTCCAAATATTTGCACCGTCACCTGGTGGGATTTACTGTTTCATTTTCAACTTAGCTAGTAAAAAAGCCATACAGTTAAGCAGTGCAAACTGTTCTGGTTCTAAAAGCGAATTACTCTCATAATGCATAACGAGGCCCACAGAGAGCAATAGAGTGTGAGAGGTTCGGTACACTCTGTACACAGACACACAAGTGAATGCATGCGCCACCTAACACACACTCAACATCTGTGTTATTGTTGCTCTGCTCTCCAGTGGACAGGCCCGGTGTGCTGGTGCTCGAGCTGCTGGATGTCCACGAGGAGTGCAGCATGCAACTGGCGCGCTGCAAGCGCCAGCATCCCCCCGGAGAAGGCGACCAGCAGGATAAATCTGTCCCGGAGGAAAGAATGTTGGTGTTGTTCAACAAAGAGACTGCCGCTCAGCTGAGCCCTGCACCCAGAGACATCATCCACATTATCCCACCGTGGTGAGAGGACGCATCTAGTGCCACCCTTTCCTTCTCACTCAAATATTTGCTTCCCTCCAATCTTAAAAATGTATGTACAGGAGTTAGCAGACATATTTAGTTTCATACAGCCCTTTGGTATAAACAGTTGTGATCCCTCACTGGATCTCTTGAGCGGCTTTCTGCTTCACCATATAGAAAGGTTTCTGTCGCGTTAACCCCACAGGATGTAAAAACATCCTGTGCGGCTATTGTTAGAAATTAAGTGTTAGATAACACGTAGAAGATACTCACATTACTGCGATCACAAATTTGATGCAATTATACTTATCACTGAAATGCAAAATTAGACCAATGCTTCGTAAAACAGGAAATGAAACTGAACTGCAAGTCACCTCAAACACTGAGATGAAGCTACAAGCATCCAGATTAACAACGAGGGATTTTTCCTTCTAGTCTGCATCATAGTTTGGGGGACTTATGACTGGACAAAAGGCCAGTGTATTTTGGTATTGATCTTCTACCATGTGGCTTAACTTTGTTAAAACTGGCTAACCTGAGCATGTTAAAACACTGATCTAAAAATAAGATCATGATGGTTCTTCGTTGCGGGCATTAGCGGCTCAGTGGATATTACGTATTGAAGTGGGGCGGTTACGAAGGTCTAAAATTGAAATCCAGTAAGTATTAGCTGCAGGAAGACAACTTTTTGGACTTCATCTGATAGCAATTAACTAGGAACATTAGAGGATTTCATGCAGTTCCAAGTTTTTAAGCACATTTGGGTTCCTTTTTATTTTCATTTATTATCTCCGTGTAGGAATCTGCTTTAAGCTTAAATTGAAAAATGCACATTGCAATTCCTTAAATCTCAATGTGGCATTTTAATTTTTATTTCTTCAATCATCTGTCCAAAACATGAAAGCACTCTGTGAACAATAATCTAGTAGGTATTGATGTATATACTTTTACTTGTACTTGAGAACCCGTGAGCTACAGTAAACACAAATGACTCATCATGGATAAATCCATTCTGCCATAATTTGAGCTGGGCTTGGACATTTGTTTCTAAAATGGAAGTAGAAACGGGGAGGGTGGCAAATGTTGTGAGTTAATTGGATAAATGAAACCTTTTCCTGGAATTCTCAGATTTTTGGTTTTTGTTTCTAAATGATTTCTTGGTTGAGGATGGGAAACTACACACAGACCCACAAAACACGGTTGCAGCCAGTTCCACAGTGAATGACTAACAGATTACACAGGAAAATGAAGTGAGGCTGCTAAGAAAAAAAATGCTGAGTAGGCAGTTTAAAAAGACTAAATACTGCAGTTTTTGTTAAAAACCCTTTTCAGCTCTTTATTCTGTGTTCGTGCAACAACTTTCTATTCTAAGCTCAGTATGCACTGAAAGTCCAAATGTAGAAAGACAAAAAACTCCCTGAAATGGTGGAAGGGGGGGGTGCGCTGAAGAGTTTTTGGGTCTGTTTTGGAGTTGGAGCAAGGCAGCACTGGACTCCAGCTGTTGGGAGTTTGAGTTGAGTGTGCTCTGGAATATCCAGGCTGGCGGATGCGCAGGGGCCTCCTATGTGCTCTGACGTCACAAACAGCTCCAGGGAATTCTTGACATTCCTCTTCCTGGCAGTAGTTAGGTCATTTCCAGAAAACTGAGGAGAAAAAACAGTAGGATTATTTTCTGGAGCATTTGGGAGCAAAGAGAGGAGGAAGCCAAGAAGCCGAGATTGAAAACACATGGTGGCTTGAGTGTTTCTCTAGCTTTAGCACCTCTCTGCTGGTTTTCCTTGCAACGAGCAGAACCCTCTAAATATACATGTATTTGCTTTCATTTTTATGTAAACTTGCATTGTGAAACTCTTTTTGTTTAAATTACTCAATAGTTTTCTAAGCATTTGGTTTAAAGAAACATTTTAGCTCCACTGAGTTATAGTTATAGCAAATCAAATCTAATAATAGTCCAAATAAAACCGGAGATTGCAATGATTTATTCATCTTGTAAGTTACATTTCTGGCCTAAGTGGAAAAAAACAGATTTGAAGATCAGTATGCCTTGTAAAATTCCTTTCTATCAGTTTTCTGTGTCACGCTGGAGGAGGGGGGGGGGGGGTGTGACCTCCCACATAATTCCTGCAAGTAGGTTGGATCCTCCCACCTCCCACGCCTTGTTGTAAGCAGGTCCTGAGCGGAAATACCTGCAGGGCTTATTCATTGTGACGCCAGCAGCCGCAGCCACTCCTTAACCCAGCTACCTGTCTGATGATGACAGCTGCCCACTCACCTGTTGACAATAAGGTCGTACTTCCTGGATGGGGATGGTGTTGGTTCTGATGAACAGCACGTTCCGCTCTGACAAGAGTAGATTAATGTCCTTATTGGAGATCTCTGCACAGATGTTGATCTGATAAACATCCATTTCCGGCTTAATCATAGCACAAGTGATTGTTGTGTGTCTATGGGTGAGAGACACTAATCTAAAGTTTTGCCAAACTGAAGAATTACTCATTACACAAGTAGATCAAGGAAAAAATATCTGCTTAGATGAGAACAAGTCCAGAGCTTTTTTTTCCGTTTTATTCCAAAAAGTATATATATATATATATAAATAATTTTTTTTAAGTGACACCAGTTTTTGCTCCAGAACTTTTACTTGTTAAGTGTTTGTCAACAAAGCAGCAGACAAGTCTTCCAGGTGTTTGCACCATCATGGTTCAGATTCAGTTTGTACTCGTTGAAGTAAACACATAATGTTGTTGGTGTTAATAGTCTGCCTTCAGGGCATACAGTGCAAAACAAAACAAAAAAAACCAGTGCCAAGAACTGTTAGTGCTGTGTGATTTGATCTGGGATGTACATATATATTTTTAAAACTGTGAGAAAAATTCACTGGTTCTATTGTGACAGTGCACTTATTTTAAATCATAACACATTGATCTTTTTATACAAGTGAATTTTTAATCTAAGGTTAAAATCAGTTTTTCCAAATTGCTTTTGTAAACATCACGTACCCATAAAGGCCAACCTTGTGTGAGTGTGTGTATTGGGGGGGGAGAAAAAAAAAATTCCCACGTTGTGTCGATTCAGTTTTCCCACTAATCTGCGTGTCTAACTACTCAGCCTCTCCGATCAGCATGCGTCTGAAGCACGCTGTGACATGTTGCTGCAGTTTCAGTCGCAGAGTGTACGCTTGGCTCTGAGTCAGTGCTAAGCCATCAACACACTATTATCCGTGTTACATGTGGGAGAAATTAGGTTGTTGTAACTCAAATTTGGCACAAACGGCGAACTGTAAAATTCCCTGGCTGTTTTTCAGCTTCTTGTATTCTCAGGCTGAATGCCACTCAGGTGTGTGATGTTTACTTTGATGGGTTAGAATAAGAAAAGGGTCAGCGTGTCCTTTTTCTGCACACATGTACAGCAAATGACTAAAATCAAAGCGGCTTCCAGGTACCATTAAATTAAGATTAGCACAAAAGCTCTCTGCACATTTATTTACTTTTTTATCAACAAAACTGTGTGAATAATCATTTTCCACATATTGCTTTACTCTTGGAAAGTGTTTACAATCACTCTACGCAGTGCTGCAAGATGTTGTCGTTTTTAGAAGCTCTGATATATGGAAGATGTTGTCTGTTATTTGCCTTCTTTCTAACGTTTTTGAACGTATGCAGGGTGGTATAAGTGAACAGACCTGTGGAGGTGGCTGAGTTTGACATTCACATTGTCTCAAGCTCTCAGCCCCCAGCATTTTTACAATAGCTTATTGTGTGAACGCTTATGAAGCATTCACACTATTGTGATTCATTTTTCTTCCGTACCCTTTAAGGCATCTTTCACGTTCCACAGTTTTTGTGCCATTTCAACAAATCATATATCAAAACGTTCAGCTCGTTCAGGAGAAGGGTGCTTTGACTTTCGGTATTGGTGCAACTTTAGGTTTTTGAAATATTTGGCAATTTCTTCCACTTTATGTCTCAAAGAAAATTAATTGAGCTCATTTTACATCCTTCACATCTTTAGATCTGTTTACAGTCTTTTACTGCCCCTGTTGCATTTTGTTCCAGTTCAGCTTCTTTCAGCTTCCTTCTGCAAATTTAAACTATTTTTTTCATCTAATTTCAGTGATTTTTTTTTCAGCTGTTTTGTGCTCCTTTTAGGTTCTTTCTGCTAACTACAACCTTTTTCAAGTTCAAGTCAACTTTATTGTCGTTTCCATTATGTGGTACATGAGATAGAACAAAATTATGTACACAGGGTCCCAGTTACACCCAAAATATCAAAGTATAATGTATAAAATATATATTTGTGCTTCTTCTAACTTCTTTCTGCTAATTTCAGCGTTTTATGCTCCATTCAGCTTATTTATGCAAGTTTAAGCTTTTTCTGCTATTTCAGCTACTATGTACCAGTATCTGTTTTTATGCTAATTTTAGCTTTTTCAGCTAATTCCACATTTTTTGCACTCATTTCAACATTTTTCAGCCCAATTCAGCAAAAAATGTGCCTTCTCCACTTCTTTCTGGAAATTTAAGTTTCTTTTTGCTTTTTTAGCAACTTTTCAGCAGTTTTTTTTTCCTCATTTCAGCTTTTTGAAGATAATTTCCACTTCTTTGTGCTCATTTCTGCTTTGTTCAGCCCAATTGAGCAAACATTTTCTTTCTACTTTCTTCTGCTAATTTAAGCTTGTTTTACCTTTTCAGCTACTTATTAACATTTCATAGCTAATTTCAGCTGTTTTCAGACAAATTCAAGTTTTTCATGTGAATTTCTGCTACTTGCAGCCTAATTAACTACTTTATGCTAATTTCAGCTTTTTTTATACTAGTTTTAGCTTTTTCTGCTCTTTCAGCTCTTTTGATGCTTTTTTTTTTTTTTTTTTTGCCTTTTCAGCAAATTCCACATTTTTTTAGCTCATTTCAGTTTTTCTGCTTCCTTCTCGTAGTTTAAGCTTTCTTCTGCCTTTTCAGCTACTTTGAGCTATTTTTTTGCTAATTTCAGCCTTTTTTAGCTAATTTACAAATTTTTGTGCTCGTTTCTGCTTATTTAAACCAATTTCAGCAAAGTTATGTTCTTTCTGTTTTCTTCTGCTAATTTAGGCGTGCTTTTCCATTTCAGCTACATTTCAGCATGTTTTTAGCTAATTTCAGCTTGTTTTCAGCAATAAGCATTCACACTGCATTTTTTGCAGGAAATGCAATTTCTCTACTTCCGTTTAGTTCCGAGAGGTTTTATTTATACACTTGTTTATCACATGTCATTATCACAGCAGGAGCTTCTTCATATTGATCATTGTCTTTTAGATCTCCTAATGCATGGTCATTTCATGCCCCTAAGTCTATTTTTCAAGAACTAGCAAAATTGAAGCTTAGAATGCTGCTCTATCAGATTGTATGTTGAGTTTAAAACTGATCGACTTCATCTTTTTGCAGGCAAAGTCTGTCTGTAGAAGGCTTCAGCTGTTCTGTTATCCTGAACACACACTTCAGCCATAAAGTCTACTCTGCGTCAAAACCAGCCAACAGTTCCTTACTAAGAGTCTGGGTCTCTGCCGAAAAGCAAGCACCATATTATTTGGGTCAGATATTCAGACTTTTGGATGAACGTAGGACCAAAGATGAAAACAGTGTCAAGCAGGTGTGTATTTGCTACTAGCAAAAAATAAATATTTCCATACATACACACACATACACATTTGTGTTACAATACAGAATCAGAATACATGTATTTGTAGCTTTTTTTTTTTTTTGTCTTGAACTTTTTTTGAATTGAAGCTGTAAATTGTCTATCAATGATGGACATCAGACCAGCCTATTTATACAGCTGAAACTCCTCCCTTTCAGCCACAGAGAGAAAAAAATGTAATCATTCCAAGAAATCAACAGATAAGCATGTAATGACAGCACCAGAATGTGGCATACTCAGGTTTATGTGCAGAACAAAAAAAAAAGGAGACTCGTGCAAATATTGTTCTTGAGGTGGTATTTATCTGCTGTTTTGCTGATTGTGGGTTTTTTGCCACAGGGTTCTTTAGGGTCAGCTGAGTCCAAACAAACAGCATGAAAGGGTTTTAGTGGTAAATATCTTAACTGATGAATTTGCTTGTTCATTTGTTGCCTCAATTCTTGAGCAAATACAAGTAAATCAAACTTTTCTGGCAGCTGTTGAGAAATGTTTTTTAAAATGTAATCAGCAACACTTCCTCCTACTCTTAAATTTTCTTTAGAGGCTTGAAAAATTATTTGTATTTAGTGGCTATGCAGTAAAAAGCTGCATTTATGACAATCGTTGTTGATTCATATTAGGGATGCCCGATCCACTTTTTTTAAAATTCCGATCCCGATACCTAGATCTGAGTATCGTCCGATACCGATCCAGTTCCGATATCGATCCAGTTCCGATATCATGATCATCATTGATTTTATATGAAGCTGTAATAATCTCCTCTCAAGTACAATTTGTACAAATATATACATGCATGTCCAAAAAGGCAACTTGAGGTAAGTTTTATTAATGTTGGATAAGTTTTAAAGTTAGAATTAAATTCTAACACAAAACATGTTTCTTTTTATTCCTAGCTTTAAAGTGAATATTAAAGTGATTAATTTAAGTGATTTTTTAAAGTTGTTTTATATTTTATAAGGGGCAGATATAAGAATGTTTTCTTCTTTCTGCACTCTTTTCATTCAATGTTTTCTTTTTGATGATTTAAAAAAAAAATTAGTTTCATTTAAATGAATGAATAATGAATGAGCTCCGTGGTTTCAGCGATGTCTTCTTCTTGTTCAATCCGAAGCAGGCAGCCTGATTTGGGGCAGCCGTGCTCAGTCTGTCCCTCCTCAGAGACGGGCAGACTGAGCGGGGCAGATTGGACGCGGCTGGCCGGTGTCGAGTCGCCTCTTTCGGTTTGACCAAAGAGTACTGCCCCGCTGAAGCCACGGAGCTCGAGTGTCCATCGTAAAACTAACTTTAACGTGGTTTAATGTGGCGCTATGGCTCTGCAGACATTGCACGATGCTGTCTTGTTTTGTGGTGTTTTTAGTGTAAAATACTTCCACACAGTGGACATGTTTCCATGAAAAGTTTGTTAGCTGTTAGCTGTTAGCCACAGTGCTGCTAACTCAGCCCTCACGTTGTAGCTGGCTGCAAACTATGAACTGGATTTCCTGAATGTGAGGCGGGTCTTATTACTCTGGGTTCATGAGACACGCCGCCGTTCAGGAAATCCATTCCATAGTTTGAAGCCAACTTGCATCATGGATCGGAAATATCGGCAGGTGGATCGGAAAATCCGATACGTAAATTATGCTGATATCGGATACCGATACTGGATCGGATCTGCCCCATCCCTAATTAATATGTCATTAATTTTTTAGTTGATGTGATAATCTATTAAATGGCTTGGAATGAGGAAACAATCTTTCATTTTTAGATCTATGTGGCCATTTTGAAATGTGTACTTTTCTCCAACCAGCATTTGTAATTTCAAAGTAACTCAAATATAGGTTTTTGTTTTTAGCTAGTAAAAGCTATATGATTTTGAGTGTCTGAAATGCCACAAAATATTAAAACATTAACATTCTGCTTGTAAAAAATAAGTTGATTAATCATCTCCTTTCTGAGGAGCAGAACATTTTGTTGAGCATTTAGTGACTTTTTGTTTTAATTAATTAATTTATTTGTCTGGCAGATCACAGCCTCTGATGCTCTGTGCAGTGTCAATGGTTCTGGAGTTATGAGACACTGCATCTCTCTCCTGGAAGCTATCGAAGGACTTGGCCAAGCCGGTTCTGTGGAGCAGGATGTGGCCGTGGTTATCCAGAGAGTTTACTCCATCCCTTTGGCTGACTCCTCTCCTGTGTCCATTCTCAAACACCGAGTCTCCGTCCGCTCCTCCATGGCTCCTCCTCCTGCAGAGAGAGGCAAAACCAGGTACCACTGGACTGGCCCCCAGAGGTGGCTTTTGGTTTATCACTTGATGCCAAAACGTTGGAGAAATAAATAGTATTTTGTCTGTTGTTTATGATTTGCAACAATACAAATTATTCTTTTTGTTAGACGTGCAGGCTGGGTTCTTTAGTTTCAAGGCCCATATGTTTCCCCTTCGTGACATGACGTGTCTCAGTGGTCGTTCTATTGTTCATGGAGCAGCAGGCCCCACAGAGTGCTCATGCTGTCTCCAGCCATATGGCATTGTTTGACAAAGGACACAAACATTTTTAATTAAATCCAGTCTTTTTGTTATTGATCCCAGCCAGTTCTCAGGATAGACCACATGATCTTTTTAAAATCTTCTGCACCCCCAAGCCAGCATTGAAGTGGTCCCACTCAAACTTTACTAGGTACAATACATGAATTGATTTATTTTATGTATTTAAGCCAGTTATTTTTTATAGGAATGTAAGAACTAAATTTATGTTTTTCACAAAATCTGTACAACGATGTGAAATTAAGTTGGATTTTTCAGTCAGTTTTTAGGAGAAAGTAATTAAAATGCCAAATTTTCTTTTTGTTTAGCCACTGCAGATGTGAAAACTTTGGGTTTTATTTATGTTTGCTCAGCATGTTCCTCCAAATTTGATTTATATAAGTTATAAACAAAACGGTTTAATCACTTGGGGGGAGGGGGAACTGAGCATTTGGCTAAAAAACTTTTGATTCTCTGAGGTGATTTGATCAATAAACATCAAGAAACAATATGCACAGTATAACAAGTTAAGGTGATTCACTGTAGGCATAATAATCTTGTAGAATCGTACAACAGTTTTTTTTTTTTTTTGAAGAAACTACCTCGTCAAGGTTTCTTTATTATCATTTGAATCATATGAGGTACATGTGGTAGAATGAAATTGTGTACACGGTGTCCCAGTTAAATCCAACAAAAGTATAAATTGTAAAGAAAAATGGTAATAAGATCTAAGATATGAACTAAGAAATACGCTAAACTAAGAATATGCTAAACACTAATAGTACAAATACAGTACGCTGAACAACAGCAGCACGAACATGAGGTCTGTGTGAGCAGATGAGTACGAATGAACACAGCAGCATGACATAAATCAGTGGCATAAGATCAGCAGCATGGATAGTCAGCAGCACATATCAACAATAAAAGTGGGATTATAGTGATTTACTTTTCACAGTGATAATCCTGATTAGGGATTCACGAGTCTAACAGCTTCAGGGTAGAAGCTGTTCCTCAGTCTAGTGGTTCTACACATAATGCTCCTCAACCTTCTGCCCGAGGGGAGCAGGGCAAAAAAGTGTGTGTGCTGGGTGAGTGGGGTCCTTCATGATGCACGTGGCCCTCTTCCTGCATATGGAGGTGTAGATGTCTGCGATGGTGGGGAGACTGACTCCAGCAGTCTTCTGTGCAGCCTTCACCACTCTCTGCAAAGCTTTTCTTTCTGCAGCTGTGCAGCCTCCATGACAC